CCTTGCAGGTCCAGCTCACAGAAAACTTGTGATGCTGACCAAGGTTTCCCTTTGTGCGCCCAGCTCTCACTTCCGCCCCTTGGTCTTGCTGGACCCCATCTTTCAGAGCTTTGGTGCTGTGCTGTGCCACTTGCCCCTTATCCGAACAACAATCCTGAAAAGTTGGTGTCATGTCTTGTCCGTTCGCAGACTAAATCTGAGAGAAATGGAGTCTCCTCTGTATGTCAGAGAGATGGAAAGTGAAAGAACTGGGATTGTGTCCCACTCATCCATGACTCGATTATAAATGGTGCATGAAGACTAGGTCATGTTCTTGGATTGTGCATATCTTTTGTGTATCCAACCAGATTCTAGAATTGAGGGTATATGCTATTCCTGGGACTCCAAACACAGGGATGCAGGATATATTTGGGGAACTGTGGTTGTTTGCTAGCTTCCTTGAGATAGGTCTCCACACGCAGGGGTCCTCAAACTTTTTAAAGTGGGGGCCAGATCACGGTCCCTCAGAGAGCTGCAGGGCCGGACTATATGAACTACTAATTCCTACTGTAACACCTCGGCTGCGCTCACTGCCCAAAATACCTGGTGGGCCGGATCAGACTCCTCTGCGGGCCACATGTGGCCCGCGGGCCGTAGTTTGAAGACCCCTGCAAGGAAAAGCTCAGCTCTTGAACTTCACATCAGTATATACAGCACAAGGGACCTTCAACCAGCAAAAGCCCACCAGATGGAGCCATTAAGAATCCGGAAAAGTGTCAGCCAGGAAAGAGGCTCCAGAGGGAACTCATGGGGTGATGCTGTCTCATGGCGAAGAACGTTTCCAAAGGTGAGACTACGCAGCCAATGGGTGAGCTGGAGGGAGCGGTTGTTGCCTTCAGACGCCCTTTGGAATTACACCAAAGTGTCTGAACACAGAGGGGAAAACAATGGAGTGTGCATGATGTCACAGAGCATCCTGAGGAAAGCACAAGGGTAAAGCTTCCTACTGCTTGGATCCAAAGTCCACACTTATTTTGGCATGAACTCCTGCAGCAAGAAACCTGACTCTTACGGAGGGATCGGTCTTGATCATAAAGGCTCAGCGCTGAAGAGGAGTGAGTGTGTATGTGTGTGTTTATGCCTGCATGTGTGATTTGGTTCCTGATATGGGAGTTAGAGCGCCAACATTCCCCCACACGTGTTGTAGGTTGTTTATGATTTCAATGTAACTAGGCAAAGGCCATTTTCACTGAGGGAGACAGGAAATTGGCTGGCTTTCCTCAAGGGTGTTCTCCAACTGTGATCAGAAACCTGCCTTTTCCTCCAATAATAATGGTGATTCTGGGCCCTCCTCTGGCTGGGGAGAGACTGCCCAGCGTTGTTCCAAGAGGGCGAGCCAATTTTTAGAAACAGGAGGACCCAGCCCGGAGTGTGCTTTTGCTCTCCTCACTCTGGCCCGAGTATCCAAGGAGGCAAAATTCTGCCTTCATCATCCAGGGCCAGGTACCGAGCAACTAGGGACCACCCCATAGCCCAAAGCCTGCCAGATTTTCCAAACAGGCCAATTATAAACCATTCACCCTGGCCTACCTTTCCTTTCCGTGCAAACCCCGGCAGAGACCATGACCTAGACCTTCCCCTCATTCCTATCTCTACCCCCTGACCACCTGGTGTCATTCCCCCGGGGTCTTTGTAGCATGCCACGTCTCCGGTCTTGAGGACCTATGACTATAATAAACTTTGTTTTTCCTAAGCCCTGACGCCATCTCTTCTTGTGGCCACACCTAACTGATTCTCATAAAAAAGAATGCAAAACAACCCAAGGTGGTGAGGTGACGATAGGAAAAAAAAACACCAGAACACATTTCCATCTTCATTTAAGAAAACAAAACAAAAACAAAACTGCACATAGGTAAAGAATGTATTATCATTAGAGTCTAGAATTTAAAAAAAATATATTTTGTAATCTTCTCCTGAAGATATGTGCATTGAGAGAGAGGAAGGGGGAGGGAGTAAGAGAAACATTGATTAACTAAGAATTGGCTCACCCTCTCGCCCCTATGCACCCCAACCAGGGATTGAACCTGCAACCTAGGAATAGACTCTCACAACCTTTTTGGTATAGGGCATGATGCTCTAACCCACATGTGTCAAACACAAGGCCCGCGGGCCAAATCCGTCCCGCCAGGCCTTGCAATGTGGCCCGCACCGCGCTGTCATCACTGCACATCACTGCGTTTCCATCACAATGACAGTTTATGACTGTTCAGTAAACCATTCGGTCCGCGATTTAGGCTGGATTTTAGATTTTGGCCCCTTCTCTGATTGAGTTCGACACCCCTACTCTAACCACTGAGAAACCCAGTTGGGCTAGATTTTTTTTTTTTTTTTTTTTTTTTTTAAGTGGGAGTAGTACTTTCCTAAAACTGTAGATGGAGGGCAGTGTCCTGCAAGTGTTTTAGCCATGGGCGGTCATTGCCAAGGCTGGTCTAGCGGCTGGCCTGGTGAAATACACCACTCACAGCTTCTCACTCTGTAGCCAGTGGGCCCAGGGAGCTGAGAGAGTCTAGAGACAGTGTCAAATGCCTTCCTAAGTGTCAAATGTGACAAAAGTGGCTCAATATGTGATATAATGGCCAGATTCCTAAGGTCTTTGACCTTAGAATTTAAGCTTGACCTGGAGTGGGCATTGAATGGGTGGAGGCAGGCCCAGCTCTGCCTGTGGGAGGACAGAGCTCAGGAAACCTCTGGAGGGCAGGGTAGAGAAGAGTGACAGGGCTCCAGTCAGGCAGCCATCCGGCCACCCAGGGAGAGGCAGGGACAAGGGAAGCAGAGCTGGGAGCTGAACAGAGGGGAGAGCCTTTACTTCAATCGCTTAGATTTGATTTTTGGAGTCAGATTTTTTTCTGTTTGAACCTCATCCCTACCGCTTACTTACAGAAATCCAGACCAGGTACTTTACCTCTGATCCCCATCCCTGGGAAAAGGGTAACGCTGAGAACCCACTCAGATTAACTCTGTGTAACAGTAGATGCCAATTTCTCAGGAAACTGATTACGTGGACAAAACAGGCCCCTTGCCTCAGCTGATCTGAAACAGCCACTGTGACAACCACAGAGGCAGACCTTTGGATTTCTAAAACTCCCCACGTGAAGTGACTGGTTGGTCTTTATTAAACTATGTATACACAAAAGAATGTCCCTGGCCCTCACTCCCATCTTTACTGTATTACCCTCAGGCCAGCTCATCCCAGCATATCTCCCCAGACCTCAGTAGCATGGCTGGCCTGCAGGGAATGGGCTCTGCAGAGGGGCCAGGCCGAGGCAGGGGGCAGGGGGGAGGGCGGGAGGGAAGCCAGGGGTGGAATGTGAGTTCTGGAAGCTGCCAGCTGAATACCACTGATCAGAAAACCTTACCAGGAGCAGGTTGGGACTGGTGTACACTGCCTCTGACATTGCAATGGTTCTCCACCTTCCGCAGTACAAAACTACATCTGCACTGTATTTGCACAAACCTGAGGACAAGAGGCATGTTTCTTGGAGTTGAGTGAGCAGAAATCTGATTCTGGGCTCAGCTATTATATCAGTTTCCTCTTTTCTGAAACAGCTAATAGCCATTGTCTTCACTTAGTTTGTTCCCCCCAGGCTCCGGCTGCCCAGTGGGATGAGATGAAAGAATGGAAAGAATGCCGAAGAGGTGGAGATTGCGAAAGGCTTCCTAAAGGGGGCAGAGAGGTGAGGAGACTTGGGAAGGTCACACTGCACTGAGTAAGGCACCAGTTTGGGCTCTGCCTTCAAGATGAGGGGCTTTCTGAACCTCTGGCAGCAATGCCCCCAGCTCTTTCTGAACTCTCAGAGTGATTTCATGGCTCTTAGCAGGGAATGGGTTTTATATAGAAAAGCTTAGAGTTTTATAAATAAGACATGCTTTTGGCTAAACCCCAGGCCACATCCAAGCAGCCCAGAGCTTCCGTCCGAGTGGACAGCCTACAGCATCTCAACCTCCGCTGCCAGCACTTGCGCAGCGATTTCACCACAGGCGCTGCACAGCTTTTAAAACACACAGGTACCTGACTCTTTCGGTACCTCTTTCCCCTATGATTGTCAAGTGAAAAAAAAGGATAATAGCCAACACAATAGCCATCTGGGTGAATGAATCAAAATTATACCTTGTTTTGGTCAGATCAACAAGACATATACTTTTTGGTGTGCCGCAGATTTCTAGGAATTTGTTTAACCAGTCTGTCCGCCCACGGGATGGAAGAGGTTGGGAACCGCTGCACTAGTGGCCTGGGAACCTGAAGATGAGAGAAGTGCCAGGAGTCACCTACTCCATGGCAACAATTCTGAGCCGCAATGGAAGGGCAGCCATGAGGAGAAGGAAAACGCCAGGAATCAGAAAGCCCGCTGCTTCGATGCTTCTCAGACTTCAGTGTGTGAGGAGCTGACTGTTTATCGAAATGACCTGTCAGCAGGTGGGTTTCTTTTTTCTTTCTAATGAGTCATTGCGGCATGGCTGTCTATTTTTAGTTGTAAAGACGCAATTAATTACAGACCAACGACCAGCAAGTTTTATCCAGAGTTTCAGATTGTCAGTGCCACTCTGTGGTCCCCGTGGAGCCGAGGAAGAGTGACAGAGACATAAAAAGTGACGGTTGTATGAGTGGTCATTTCCACAGGAAATTAAAGACGCACCCTTTCCACGTTGTCCCACGTCAGTAAGGAAAGCTCGGCTGGCTAAGTCATCATATTTTTAGTCTCTGAATGTTACTTCCCTTGACGGATCTATAAATGGCACAAACACTCTTAATCAGTGTGGTCCAGCGCTCCCCAGAGATGATATGAGACAGAAAGACTACTCCCAGCCACAGGCAGTACGGCAATAAAGCCTGCCTACGGAGCCAAAGGAAGCACTACACGGGTGCCTCTTAGCAGGCATTCCACCGAAAAGAAGGCGCTTAAGAGAGCAGGTGAGAATGGGCTCAGGCTTGAATCGCTTTGTGACCCACCACGTGATCTTACCTTAGTTACGGATAATTAAGTTGAGGTCCAAATCCCATGGCCTTTTCATCTTGTAAGAGCCATTTCAGGGTTCTATCCTTCCCTCTCGGGCTTTCTCGCAAGCTGTCAGCACTTGCCGCCATGGAGATGAGGAAGCCCACAGGAGAATCTCGCTCTGCTTTGCCTTTCCGGGTGCATTCACCACACACAAAGGCCACTGAGTTCTGTTCCGCTCTCGTGAATCAACACTTTCTTTAACGGGTTCCCATGCCTACCCGGAGGGGACAGCCTTGCCAATGGTGGCTCACAAAAAACAAGAACCAAGAAGAAAGAGCCCCCCCACTGCCTGTCTACATCTTTGTCTTTCAATCCTATTCAGTAATAGAAATCTCTCCCAAATCACAAAATGACCAAAAATGGTCCCTACATTTCTCACTATCCCAAAGGGCTGGACTGTCTCTTATGAAGACCTCCAGGTCTTGTACAACTTCTTCCCAGTGTGCCTTTCTTAAATGTAGGCGCTCTATTACAGTCATTCTAAAGATTTTTCTGGGTAAGTACACGCCCTAACTGTGTAATCCTACACTCAAAGCAAACAAATTCTTGCCCAACATCATTTCATTTGGGTTCCGAGGAAGTGTGTGCCCCTAGAAGACCAGTGATAACCTCAGTGGTGGATCCAAAGACAACGTTCAGATGTTTTTCTGAGAAGCAGGTATTGTTCTGTGCCTTGGTTGTTTGCCTCTTCTGCACTGGGATGAGGGAGAGCCTTGGCTTCTTTGCCAATGCGCAGTATTCACTCACAAGTAAGGTTTGTGATTTGGGTCAAGAGAATGTGGACATGAATAAGAAAGCAAGTAAATGCTGGTGTCACTTACTGAGATGATGGAACTAGGAGAGAAGAGATTTGAAATGAGGGATTTAATAGCTGAGGTTCTGTTGTGGTAACGGCATATGCTCTCTGACAACCAAATGAAGATGCCATGTAGACAGCATATTATTCTGGAGTTGAGAGATCCAGAACAGAGGTACAAGATGGGAAGTTATCAGTATATATGTGGTATTTAAAACCATGGACATGGGCATGGCCACAGCAGAGTGAGAGTAGTTAGAGGAGATGGGTTCCAATGATGAAGCCCTGAGCAACCCAATTTTAGGTTGGGAAGATGAGGAGGATCCAAGAAAGGATCCTGAGGAGAAGAATTGCTTGAAATGGAAGGAAAACCATGATGTGTGGTGTGAAGTGAGGAAAGTGTGACAAGAGAAAGAGTGATCATCTGTCAGAGATGAAGGAAGGTCAGGATGAAGACTGAGAACTGCCCACTGGATGTGGCAATGTGATGTCACTGGTGACTCTGATGAAAGATGTGTCAGTAGTGTTTGGGAGACAAATGCCTGATTGGAACAAGGTGGAACAAGGTGAGCGGAAGTGAACACAATATTCATCCTGTATATTGGGAGCTAGGCTGTCATATGGAGTAGAAAACCATGATGATGGATGGGAAGGGATTTGGGGTTCAAGAGAGATTTACTTTTCATGAAGGGAGCTTTTTATTTTGTATTATTTTAATGTGGGCGATGTTATAATTCATCAGATAAGAGGTAGCTAGGTTATTAACTTTTAATTAAGTAAATGTCCTACAATTACTCTTGTGTGTCATTTCTATTAAAAATAAGTAGTTTAGCCTGACTGGTATGATTGAGAGTCAATCTAAGAACCAAGAAGTCACGGTTGAATTCCCGGTCAGGGCACTTGCCTGGGTTGTGGGCTCCATTGCCAGTGTGGGCCATGCAGGAGGCAGCCAATCAATGATTCTCCCTCATCACTGATATTTCTATCACCCTCTCCCTCTACCTACCTCTCTGAAACATATATTTTTAAAAAGTATTTTGGGTACTTTTGAAGAAAGTATCCTGTTTGGTCTCATGGGTTTACTGCAGAATCCACATGATAATCAAAATGATTAATTCCATAAAGAAATATAAAATAGAGAAAACAGCCTGAATTCTATGTGGCACAATGTAGAAAGTGGGTAATGGACAGAACTGTGTATTGTAACCTGATTTTCCAGAGCCAAGGACAACTCTTAAGTTGTCTAATATAGCCTCAGCCACTGCTGACAGTGTGCCTGCAGACAGATCCACACCAACTACAAGTTCCTATAGTTCTATAATAATTGCCTGGCTAATACAGAATACAGAGGAGTGTCTGCAGTCCTCACTACTAACCAATGAGTTCCTCTTCCACTCCTTATAAAAGTTTCTCCCACTACTTGTATTCTAAAGTTATCTAAAGCAGTGGTCGCCAACTGGCGGTCCACAAATCACAGGTGGTCCGTGAGGTTGGTGGCCGATGATCTAAAGCACGCTGGCTTATTTTCTTCTCTTTGGTCAAACTGTGCTAAAGTGGAATAGATTTCAAAATCTGGAACCAGAAATAAATCAGTAGTAAGTTGGTTAGCATATACTTCCTCTCAAATCACTTCATTTTAAAATTGAACAGTGAGAATTAATAAGAATGTCTGTTTGGGTTATTTTCTCTTTCTCTTGATTTTGAATGAGTTGGTTTTCTGGCTGGTTGTTGCACTAACTCCCAAACACACATATTACCAAGCAATGACCCTGTGAGAACTGCCAAAATGTCTGTGCCAGGCACAGTTAGAGGAGGATTCAATTCAAAACGTGAGCCCTCAGAAGAGCATTAACACAACAAGAATCCATTGTTTGATGTCCTCTCAAGTTGGCCCTCCGTTTCTGCTTAAGCATTTTCATTGACAAGAAATGCACTGACCCTTCACATGTCTGTTCCTATTTGATGATGATTCAACTCTACCAATGAGAAAGTCCTTCCTTAAACTCAGATAAAAATATGTCTCCCTGCACCATTCACAAGACTTTCCTGTCCTCATGCTCTCTCTGTGCAGAATGTGTTATATGCTATCCAACAAAGGAAAAGAGAGAGACAGAGAGAAGAATTTTATACTTGCTTCTTACCTCCTAACCCAGTCTTTACTTCTTTCATTGAAAAATATACAAAGCATCCTATTATTCCTATATGCATATTGATTATTTAATTTGTCCCTTTTGAGAACCATAAGGACATGGTCAAATGCTAAAATGATGAATCATGAAGGCAACAGGTGCCAACCAAAGCTGCTGAGTTAATAATCAGTTGTGTGCTGTCAAATTGTAAGAGTGGACTCTCGGGGTGGGGGTGGGGGTGACTGGTAGAGTTTTCCAACTTATATAGTGCAAATACTCCATCCATGGCCAATTTCAAGTTACTGAGGGGACTTCTCTGAGGTTGGAGTTGGTAAGAGGTGTGCACAGTTGGCTCTTGTGAGCTGATACAAGTCTGTTCCAGCACAGCCCTGTGTGATGAGCCATGGTAGGGTTTGCTCTACATCCTAAAGTCCTGGTTGTTCTCTGAATATCTTTTTACACATCCAGCCCAGAATCAGTCTCAACTTCACTTAAAATTCAACTGCAAATGTCCAATTCCATCAAAACTTGACTTCAAACTATCTATTGTATAAATGTGTGTGTTTGGGGAGCATACAGAGAAAGCCTCTAGCTTCTAATATTTGGATCAGAAAAAAATTGCCTTGTAGTTGATACATTAGAGTACATGCTCATTAAATTATATATATATCACTACACCTCATTAAAGTTGTCATTTGTTTAATGGAATGGAAAAGAAATGGGCTTAAAGAGGGATACTGCAAAAAATGATTTAGAGTTTTGAATATTTCCATATAATTCAGTAAACATTTATTAAGTCCTTATGATGCATTAAGGAAACTGTAAACATTCCACTTAAAATTCTACTAGTGAATAGACTTGTTTTTATGTTTAGCCTTTTTAACTCCCATTTGTTACAAACCATGGATGTGTTTGTTTTTGGTCTTCAGTGAATCCATTCTGCAGTAGTTACTCGTGAGTCACATTTCCCAAGGCTATAATTTATGCCTATATCCTATTCATACTGAATGCAACTGTTTAAGATAAACCATGTTAGCACTGAATCAGCATTAGCAGGAAAAACAAAATGCTTATTTGGCTGGATCGTGGGATCTGGGACGGTGAGACGTATGATATGGGTAAGGTGGAGCAGTTAGCAGCATCTGATAAGCCAGGTTAAAGAATTTTGATTATTCTAAGGAGGAATGAAAGGGCTTCAACCAAGGGAGGAAGACAATCTGATTAGCATTCAAGAGAATGCATTCTGGCAGTGGTGGTGAGAATGGATTGGACAGGCAACAGATGGGGTGGGCAAGGCAGTAAGGAAGATATTGTGTAATCTAGGGGAATGAAGCACAGGGAACACACTCAAGAGATACTTGGAAGTCTGTATCCAGGATCATCAGAAATCCATTGGAGAAGGAAGGGTGAGGAAGAGACCAGGATGGGCTATTTACAAGAGTGGAGGGATGAAGAACAGTCAGGTTAATTCCAAAAGCCGGTACAACTGCAGTCAGTCTTCGGATTGGGTGGCAAGAAGTTGCTGATTTAATTTCCCTGTTAAATAATGGGATGGTGAGCAGAAGAGACAGGAATAGCGATTTCAAGGGAATGGAAAACATCTGAAATAGTCACTGTCGGGAAGTTGAAGAGCACGTCATGTGGGGCTGCGTTGAGGGTCTATTCTTAGTAACATTTCTCAAGAATCTAATTTAATGTGTGTCTTCTGAGAAAGTGTCCCAGGACCTCCTGAGAGGTCTTCCCACTTCCCTCTAATGACCGGTCCCTCTAATTCCTAATGAAGCTCACCCAACGGAACACTTTCTGAATGAAGAATTTTAACAAGGTAGCTTGTGCCGTTCTTGGTTTCCAGGTCAACCACTAACTGGCTTTTTTTGTGACAAAAGAACAGTGAAATTCCCACAAAGTATCTGTTGGGAAAACATTTGCTAGAGATACACCTCCCCATCCAAACACATCCCTGACATCAGGGAGGAGACAGAGCTCCCGGGCAAAACAATCGCCGCTGTCTTGGGGTGGAACTCCGAAATTTAGTCAAGGAACAAACCCCAGTGAGGTCATGTCTCGTTTGGGATTAAAAGGCTAACTCTGATTCTGGGATCATACGAAGAAAAATGCACATAAAATGCCCAGGAATTTTCCCTTTGTTTGATTCGGAAATTAAACTTGCACACGTCATGTCTACAAAATGAGCATTTCACCAGGTCAGATGTTTTCTTGACTAGTCTAGGATGCAAAAGAGAGTAGAGGACATGCTGCCTTCTTCGGCTGGCTGGGCCCTGGGCCTTCCTGAACCTTTGGAATTATGTATTCATACATGCAGATTTGTCTCTACTCTACAAAATAAAGTCAATATCCAAAAACCTTAGTCAAGTTACTTGGTGCAGCCTGCTCAG